TATATATATATATATATAATTTTAATGTCAGAAAGTTCAAAAGGTACACATATATAAAAAGTCCAGTCATTACTGAAGTCAGCATCTTGTGCATTTAGCGGTGCAGGTTCTGTAAGGGCACAGCTGGGCCCAGGCGCTCCCTGCTTCACCCCCATCTCGGTTGGCCCCAGTTCAGCAGAGCAGGGCTGCTGGGTGGCTCCACTGTGCAGGTGCCTGTAGGAGGTTGTCACCTTGCACTGTGGCTTTGGACTTTCTCCATGTTTCTCTGACATTAGATGTTTCCGAGACACAAGCAAGCTGTGCCACCATTTCACTGCTGTGCTGCCTGGTTGCCCAGATGTGCAGTGTGTGTGTGTGTGTGTGTGTGTGTGTGTGTGTGTGCGCATGCGCATGTGTGCATACTCCGGGATGTTCACAATCTGACTTGGGAGTGCATTTCCACACAGACCTCCCTCATTACAGCACACACACCAGCCCTTGCACGTCTGTGCCCAAAGTGAGGCTCTGCCCTGGCACCACTGAGCTAAATCCTGGGCGGAAGCCTCAATTTTAATTGCACATGCTCTGCATGGGAATGGTATGGGAATCAAGGTGCATACTCCACTGGTTTGGTAGTACTGGAACTATTTTGCTAAAATATTTGAATTACAAATATGTGAAACTACTGAGACATGTTTTACCTTTTGAAACTCCTTGTTAGTAGGCGGTATCATGAATATGTACCTGCAAAAGAGGGGAGTACAGCCCATGTATTATTCCATAAATAGTTATTGATTAATCCACTAAATGTTAGGAAAGGGCAGGGCTAGAGCTGCCTGGAAAAGTGCATACCCACTCAGGGTTTCCATCCAAGTAATGCAGAACAGCCACAATTCTCAATACAACACACAAAAAAGAGGGAAAGAAATCTTAATTTGGATAGCTTGTTCTGAGCTTAATATTTACCAAAATCCATTTTAGAGGCAGCATTTCCCTCACAAATATGGAGTTGCCATTTGCAGTGCAACTTGAAGATTGAAAATGATTTCATGAAGAGATTTAAAAATGTCAGAATATTAAAAATGCCAGATAGGGCCGGGCATTTAGTCCAGTGGTACTGCACCTGGCTCATAACCACAGGGTCCTGAATAGGATCACTGGGACCAAAAAATAAAATAAAATAAAATAAAATAAAATAAAATAAAATAAAATAAAATAAAGATAAAATAAAAGCCAGGTAGCAGAAAGAAACTCATAAAGTATTTAAATATGTACTAAAGATAAATCACTCTGATCACACATTTATAATGCATTTATAAGGGTGAAATAATCAAAATGAGAAGCCCACCTTATTATTTTGTTTAAATGTATGTGCATGCATTATTTGAATTCCAACAAGAAATTTCTTTCTAAAATAATATTTTATGGAATTTTTTAAGTCCAACAACACAATTTTTTTAAAAGACTCGTTGGATTCTTGCTTTATAATCTTTTTGTTTTCTAAAAATCTGATTTTAGAGTCCTCCTTAAAATAATAGCTTTATTGAAATAAAATCTGCATGCTGCACAATTTACCAACTTGAAGTGTAAGATTCGATTGACCTTACAACATTGACGGAGTTGTACAACCATGATCACAATGAAATTTCGTTCATTTTTGTTCTCCCGGGAGGAAACTCTCTACCCATTGATTGTCGTCTCCCAAACCCCAGCGCTAATCCTAGTGAAGGACTTCTAAACACGAGTGAAAAGAGCGCAGCGAGTCCCACCTAGTGCATTCTCACCCTGCTCTGCGTCCACGTCTCACTCCCAGGGAGGGTGTTGCACACGAGAAGAGCAGCAGTCACGCAGCACCGCTGAGGCCCTAGATTTATCTCACGCCATTTCCTGTCCCAGGCTCGCTCAGCTGTGGTTTGTATGTGTACCGTCAGGCTTCTCCTGGCCTCGGGGTTTGTATCTGTCCTTGTTTCTGATGACATTAACGGCTTTGAGAAGAAATGGCCAGGTTATTTTTTAGGCTGTGCCTCAGTTGAGAAGTTTGGTGCACAGCTACCCCGGAATAGCGAGGTTTGGGCAGGAGGGCTACACACATGACTTGGAATTTTCATCTGATCATATCGAGCTGACGTTGTCGGTGTTCACTTCAAAATCTTGGCTAAGTTAGTGCCTGTCAGCATCGTTCACTACGAAGTTATAATTTTTAGCTTCTTTCTGTAATTCTGTGTTCGTGAGGCGATGACTCAGGTATGCAGGGTCCACGACAGGTTATTCTTCAAAAATGTGAGCAGATTTCAAAGCTTTCGGAATTTCCCACATGGAGATAATTTGACTATTTTCCACTATTTATTTGTTGCATGATAGAGTCATATTTACAGTGTTTATTTTATAATTTGGATTGGAATCCTATATGATTTCAGCTGGCTTTTTTTTTCCTTTTGGTTCCATATACCACGTTTGCAATTGAGATGCTTTCTATTGGGTCCTGTGTGTTGATATAAACCTTAATCGTGACCAGGTTTTGGGTTTTGTGGACTGAAGAATTTATGCACTTATATGTGACAAATATCATATTTTTCAAAGCGTAATTTAACACCCTCCCTACTCTCACTTTTAAAAATGAGAAGATATCCAGGTTTCTTGTTACTAATTAAAACTTTCTTCATATTTCTTTTACTATGTTTGTTTTGTTTTGTTTTTGATACAGGGTCTCACTGTGTAGTTCAGGCTGACCTTGAACTATGTAGCCCAGGCTGGCCTCTACCTTGTGGCAATCCTCCTGCCTCAGCCTCCTGAATCCTGGGATTACAGGTGTGTGCCACCACCCCAAGATGAGTAAGTTTTTGTTTATTTCTGATGGTCCCCATTCCTCCTGATATTTCATTTTTCATCTTCATTCCTCTCCAACCTAAAGGACACTTTAACTGAGTATCTCAGTGGTTCAACCCGACCTCTACTGAAATGGACTGGGTCTGTCTTCCCTTGACTGACAGTGTGCTCTCTGAGAAAAATCTTCACCCTTCAAGTATATTTTTGCAGGATATAAATATAGACTTATAGTAACTTTAATGACTCGAAATGCATGCCGTCCACACTTTCAAACAGGAGCTCAGCAGTGAGGCGCACGGTGTGCCGACTGGGTGCCCCTTGGCTTTTCAGAGGGAAAGCTGGGGTGAGCTCTGATGCTTGCCGCACTGCACAGCCTCGCCTCCAATCACCAGAGTACGATGCTCTCCGCAAGGGACTCCCTGTTCGTCTTGCTCCATCATCACAGGTCAGCTTGGCTGTTCTCAAGTCTCACATCCGCCATCTTCCTCTGCCTCTGACACTGTTCAGAGCTATGCAGTTCGCTACTTACCCACCACTTCCAGTAGCCGCAGTTCGCTCCTCTTCCTTCACCCTGCTAAGCTGCAGCATACAGGCTTGGTCAGAAGGCCATTCAAGCCGTGAGCTTATGACAATTGCCATGTTGACAGCCCCGCGGTCACAAGTCTCCATGGACTTGATTGCTAGAAAAAGCAGGAGCCTATTCTCTCACGGCTGAGTTCAGCAGTCCAGCACTCCTTACTGTTGGAGGCTGCCGCGTGTCCTGGCCTCTCCAGTCTCTGGAGCGCAGCACATTCCAGGTGCACGCTTGACTTCAAAGGCGGTGTTCTCCACAGCCCTACTCCTCCTGTTGGCAGCCTCTCATCCCAAGGCTGGAAAACTGCCTCTCAGAAGTCTATGGAGATTCTGGGCTCTTGCAGACAACCCAGGTCGGTCTTCCCATGTTGAGGCCTTTGATTTTAATTACATCTCTCCAGCCACTGTTGCTATGGTGATTAGCATATGTACCTGTTTCAGAGTTCAGGGCGTGGGCAAATGTGGGAGGGCGCTATTTACTTGACTGCAACCTTAGGAATAAAGCTGCCACAAATTCTTGCAGGCAGCACATTTATGTACATGCATTTTCTTCTTCAAGGCAGGAACGTGGGGGTAAAAGTAGCCTAGACTGGGAGGGCCATACGGTAGATTTGTGATTAACTTTACAAACCACTGCCAAACATTGCTTTGCACTCTCTGAATACTGCAGGAGATCTTCAACTTGACCACTTCTCAAGTGTTTCACAGAACCAGTGTTTTTTTGTGTAAGTGCTGTAGCCTTTCAATGGTGTTAAATTTATCTTACTTAACTTTTATTCTTCTTGCCTACTGATTTATAATGTTGTGTCTTTTTTCTGTACAGTTTAATTTAATTAGATTTCTTGTGTTTTGTATTTACAGTTTTATTAGTGTTCTACACTTATTTTGAATGGACTTCTTGTGGGCTGTTTAATTTTTTGACTTTGTTTAGTACTCGTTTCGTAACATGATGCTCATGTTTTCTGCAGGGAGTTGGTGCTCGTACACAACACACACGAAACCTTCCTTCCCCTTTGCTCTACCTCCTTTTATTTTCCCAGTATCGGATTCATTTATTTATCTTATAAGACCTAATAAAGCGAATTCTCATGTACTGATGGGAAAACAGACTAATAGGTCAAAGGAAACATAAAACATGTCAGATCATTGTACTAAGTCAAGGTACACTTTTAGGTATGTCCGCACTTGATTACAATACTTGTTTTTGTCTTTTTTCCTAGGATGACTTTAGTTCATACTTTATATATACACTGAGTTTTCATATAAGAGAAGCCATGCGACAGTTAAGCTCATGTGTCAGACACACAAGCTCAGACACTCATTTTATATCATTTTCCCCTACTTCTGGATTTATCTTTTCATTTTAACAATATGCATTAAAGAATATAATATTTCATTTTGTTGAAGCTCACTCTGAGCATTTTTTCCTCTGTGACTTTTTTGTGATGGTTGTAAGAAATCTTTGCCTATTCTGATGAAAGAATGTAACATTTCTAGTTGCAGCTTTTTGTGTATTTAATATACTTTTCTGGTGTTTTATTTCTAGTTGTAGTTTTCTTTATATAGCTCAAATGGCCATTAACATTATAAAAACTATGTTATTTGTATGAAGTTAGGTGGACGACAGTTTCTTTTGATATTTCCTTTTGGACCAGGAGCTGTGAAGATGTGAATCTATCCACAGACTCCCTGCTAATCCCATTAACACATACGCTTGTCCTATGCCCATACTACATTCTTGATTATTTTCACTTTGTACTATGTTTTGAAATAACATAAATTATAGGTTTAAGTATTGAAATATAGTCTCTTAAATTTTTTTAGCAATTTTATATTTTTGAAATCTGCAAACTGATTGGTCAATTTCTATGGGGAAAAACCTTCTGTTTAGAGTTTCTTTAAGTTATATTGTATCTGTACATAAAATTGGAGACCACTGATATTTATCAGTGTTGAGCTTTCTGATGCAATATATCTCCTGGCTATGGATATTATATTTCTGTTTCTTCTTGTAGGTAGCAAAATCTTATTGATGATAAGCATTGTGACTTGTTAAAGACTGAGCTTTTTCAATCCACTGATAGTCAAGAGCTTTGCATGGCATTCCACGACATGATTTACAATCAGGGTGGCCCACTCAATGCTTTACTTTTTTATTTATTTTTTAAGATTCCTTAAGGCAAGTCCAGAGCACCTTTTGGTCTGGAATTAGTGCTATCTACTGTGGCCCCTGGGAGGAGTCTACCTAGCACATGCACTGTGCAGTCTGTCTGCTGGGAATTCAAACAATTACCAGCTCCCTGTGCACTCTGCAAATCGTTTTGCCCACTTCTTTTCATGGCTGACCCCCTTTGAAGCTTAGGTTGGGATATTGGCTTGTTTGTTCCTGGAATCCACCCGGGATACTGTTAGGGCCCACTTTGGTGTATCTTTTAGGGTCTGGAGCCTTGGCCACAGGATCTGGAGCTGCAGCCTTGGGATCGGTACCTGTCCATTTCTCCTTTACTCTCTGTAACTGTTCTGCTGCTCTGCTTCTAGGAAATCATGAACCGAGCAGCTTTGCTGCAGGACTTGCTTCTGCCATGAGGGTCCTGCTTTGGAATCAGCCTATGACAGATTTAAGCCCCGCATGGTAAGAGCCAAATCACAGCTCCTCTTTGAAGTTCAGGGTCACAAGTATTATGTCCACAAAGTGAAAGCTGACTGATACAGAAAACTGGTGCATAGAAGTGGCATCTCTCTGTCCCTGTGCCTATGTCATTCAGAAGCTTTTGGACCTGGTTTGTGAGAGGGGTTTTGAAATGTTTGGAAATGTGGACAACAGAAGCTTTAGGATGCATAGGATACTGTAAGCAGGACCTGGTAGATGATGCTGGTCATGCTGGTAGGAATGCAGATAATAAAAGCCATGCCCAAGAGGTTGAAGTTGGGAGCAAGAACTCCATTGGCATTTGGATGAGAAGCCATACGTGTTACACTCTGGAAGAGATTTTTTCTACATTTTTGCCCATGTAAGAAGACTTTGCAGAGGAATGAGATTAAGGGGGGCAGACTAATTAATCTGGTGGAAGAAATTTCAAGACATCATTTGACCTGTGGCACAGTTATTACTGCCAGCTTTTAGCCAGATTTATAGTGAGTATCAGGGACAAAAAGCAACCCAGAAAAAAGTGGAAAAATGAAAATATTAGCCTAGAGCATACTGCTTGTAACACTGCAGCCAAAAGCTGTGTGGTTGTTAAAGACATTAATGCCATATACAAGAAACCAAGTACTTTGTAGAAGGTCAAGAAAAAAAATGCCTGGATGGCATCCCAGGAGTCAGTAAGACCCCACCTACTCCTGGCTCAAGGGTGCAAAAGAGAGAGGCCCCCATGGGCCCTTTGTTTGAGAAGGACCTACTAATGAATCAGTACTTCAAAATTTGTCTCACTGTGTTCAACCATCCAGCCACTCAGAAGACACTGCAGCCATGATCCAAGGGGGGCAGGCTGCTGCTCCTGCTGACTGTAGAACTGGGAATCATCTGTGTAGTGCTGGTTTTACAGGAATATAGGATGCACAAGTTTTGGGGTCAGCAAGACTTCCCCTCAAATTTCAGAGACAGAGCCAAGTCCCCAAGAGGGAGGGCTCTCCATGACGCTATGGGAATTAAGTCAAGGGTTCAGTGTGGATCCAGGAAATTTGGAGAAGGCAGGAACATGCAGCATCCACTATGAGGAGCTGCAGGCCATGAGCGGAGCCAGGCCAAGAAAAAGACCTTGTGACCTGCACTCAGTGAGGCCTTACACCTGGGGCAGCCAAGGCCTCCAGAATTTGTACTTCATTATTGTTTGCTCCACATGCTTGAAACAGAACTATACAACTTAGTGTTTACCCTCCAGGTTTCAGTCTGGCTTTGGTCTGATTACTTTTTAATCCCCCATTCTTCCCATTTGAAATGGAAACATTTACCCTATGCTATGGTATCTCAAGATTGTGGCACTTATTTTTGGTTCATAAAAAAGGTTTATAGTTAAGTGCTTACCTCAAGAACATTGGACTTAATCCTTTGAAAAATGCTAGAATTGTTGAAACTTTGGGAAAGGGACAGTTTTGCTTCTTGTTATATGTGACATTAGGTTAAATTATGAACTTGCTACTATCTTTATTTGGAGAGGAAGTACATTTTAAGGAGATGTGTTTAGGGTGAACACAATCAGAAGAGTGATGTGGTGGGTACTGTCGACTGTCAGCTGACTGTCTTTGGAATTTACCCATGAGATTGTGGGAGCAGGCTTCTATTTGGGGCCAACACACCTTGAGTTGAAATACCAAACTGGCCCAAAGCACACCTTTCCTCTTTAAATTGTGAGTGTTAGGTATTGTCTCAGTGATAAGCAGTCTGACTAACACAGAGCCCCGGTGGATTATGATGTATATCTTACTAACTCTGTTAGATTAAGGGGTAATGTGGGCCAGGCTTTCCCTTCTGTGCCCTCTGGTATGAACACTGTCCTTAGTCTAATAACAATTCCCTCACTGGTTTCTTTTCTGCTAAGAATCACAACCCTCTTATGCCTGTTGCCTAACTTATAAAAACAGTAGTCACTTCACGTATTCGGCCTCTTTTTTCTAATAGTTTTCTATAGGAGTAAAATTCCCACAGCATTTGATTTCTCACAGAAGCAGTGATGCTCTGTTGAGATGACATAACTCTGAGCCCCAATGACATATCATTGTTTTATAATTCTATATGCAATGAAGAGATTAAACTATTTTAGATTTTATGTTTGAAAAGCACTTGATAGGTCCAGAGATTTACCTCCGTGATGCCACTGCCTGCCTTGCAAGCACTAGATCCCGAGTTCGATCCCCAGTACCAAAAACAAAAGCACTTGATAAAGTCATAAATTGTGTTTCCTTTTTATCAGTGTGTGTTTGCAGTGCATAATGATTACATTTATCATGTGGAGTTGGTGCTCGGACACATCACATTTTAATTCTTTTTTGTGACCCCTCTACTTCTCCTCGCTCCTTCCTCCTCTTGGTCCCTTTTTTATTTGCATGTGAGCTTAAATATCATAAGATTTCTCTTCTATGAGAAACTCAGTATATATTAGCAGTACCTCCATTCATGGGTTTAATTATTTCCAATTCTGGTCACAAGCCAAGTTGAAAAAGAACCCAATCAAATTCAAAGCTTAAGTTAAATGATGCCCTCATGGAAGAATTTGATTCGGTTCTCATCTAATTCAGTTTGTGATCAGAGTTGCAGAAAAATTAAGTTTGTGAACCAAGGTACCATGGGGTGGGGGAGGCTTGAAGATAGCTAAGTAGGAAGTAAGGAGGTATTTTCAAGGTGGATGGAGTGGGGAGGAAGGAAGAAGAGAAAATGAGATTAAGAAGAATGAAAAGGAAAATTATGAAAAATTATTTCTTATGGGAAAAGATACGATTCAAAATTTCACTTCGATGTATAGCCAATGGTCTAAGAATTCACCAATGGACAGTGGTTTGACAATACGCTTTTGCTATTTGATGCCAATTGAACTATAAGTGAAGGTGAAACATGTTTGTTGTTTCTTAAGTTTTCTTCAATGTTTAACCTCGGACAGTTTAGATTCGTACATCTTACCTCATACAAGTGGTGTTTTTAATCAGGAGGCAGATTTTAAACACAGTAACGTTGAACTCCAAGCAGCCTTTCAGGAAGGGGAAGTGTGAATTCCGAGACCGAAGACGGGGACTCGGCGTGCGGCAGCACTGGCACGCCATGGGGCCGTGTGTGTGTTTCTCTTCATGCTGCAGACAACTTTAGAAGGAAAAACAGCCCTGAAAAGGCAGCTGCAGGACCACCCCTGCCTGTCCTCCACCTCTCCACCCTGCCCACCAGCACCAGTGCGCTCCTTCTCAGCGACCGCCATGCTGCGAACAGAACCAGCTTCAACTTACTCAAAGTTGCCAAATCTCTCCCCAAAATGCCGGTCAAACTCCAGTTTAATGCTGGTAGTATCTGAAGCTTCCTATGGCTCTAAATCGCGCCTACACATATGTGGGTGCTGTTATTCTAAAGGTCTGGACAAGTGAGGGCGCTTGTCTCTCCCCAGTGGCAGATTTCTAGAGGCCTGAATAAAGCCAGGAGTAATGAGCACCCAAAATAAGAGAGGAATGATGGAAAAGGGCTACAAATGAATGCACAGCTCAGGTAATGACTGTATAGCGAGAAGACAGTCACCATCACAGAGAGGAAATGTAAGGGGACGCAACACTTGTGCAGAGGAGCTGAGGTGAGCAGCAGTCGCCAGTCCTCCCTACACTCAGAATGATGTGCTTTGCAGAGTAAGGACACAGACTGAATATCTCTTATCCTAGATGCTCAGGACTGAAAGTCCTTCAGGTTTCATATTTTCAGACTTTGAAGAATCTGTGTAAAATGAAGTGACATCTTTGGGCGAGACACATCGAGATGCAGTACTTATTTGTGACTCGTTCATTTCAGCATGTCCCGAGGGCCACTTTGTATATTTTAGTACACCTGTGCTCTGACTGCTATCTACACACGAGGTCAGGCAGAGCATATTCTCCTGTCACTGTCATGTGGGCACTTTAGAAGTTTTGTATTTTTCAGCCTTTGGGATTCCAGATCTCCATGTCAGGACACTAACCTCTGTTATGTTTGAAAACTTGGAACAAAAAGCACGCATGGGCACAGGCTGTCATTTGCTTCTCTTCCCCATACAAACCCAGCAGGAGTGTTCTGGGCATTCGCAGATTTCTGGGTTTACCAATCTTCTTCAGAGATCTCGTCCCGATTTGGCTGGGAAGAATATTTTAGAAAGGAAATAAGAAAATCAGGCTTGATTGTGGAGAAGTCGGTCAGCCTACACAGAGCACTAGAAACTTTAACCCTTCAGGCTGAGAATTCCCCTGTCAGGGACTTGATTCACTGGGGAAAATAAATAGAACGGTGATCATGCTACACTAATTACGTGAGTTCTCACTATAATTACCATAAAATTATAAGTTGCAGTAATTTTCAGGACTCCACCAGGGAAAATGAAGTTACTTTGAATTATAATGGCAAATTAGACGGTGTCTCACAGAAACTCGAAACGGCGTAAGCAATTTGAGTCTCTGTGATGTGTCACATCCTGAAAGGCGCCCTTGCCATTACCTGATTAGACACAAGCCGCGTGGTCACGTTTGTGTTTAGAGTTTCTTCCACCCTGGGCGTAACAGATGCTGAAACCCTGAGGCTGAAAGAGATCATGCTAAATGAAGAGCGTGGGCTTGCGAAAGGCCGCTTCCGTATGAGGCCCGGTGAGCAGAGCCAGGGTGCTCCAGGCGTAGGGAGCGGGAGACACCCAGATCCAGAGCAGCCACCGCCATCACTGCGTCCAGAACCACCAACTTTACCATCAGCCTCTGTCAGAAGAAGCCCAGGTAGAGGCAAGCCGCGTGGCCCTAGAGCAAGGAAACAACATTGCGATGAGCCTGCTTCCTGCACATGTCGCTTCCTCTTGAGTTTTAAGCTCTTTATGGATGGTCCCATGGCACACAGCTTTCAGGGAAAGTACCTTACGACCTACCACATGTCAAGCAGCCAGCCTAGTGCTCAAGAAATTATCAAGAAGAATCACCATGCTACTCCCTCCCCCAAGAAGCTGTGTTGCCCAATACCCTTCTCCCTAAAGAAGGACTCCCAGGCAGGACTGGAGTGGCCGCTGTACATAAGTTCTCCCCAGGTAACAGAGGTCTGCTCCTTACAAACATTTCACCCTCAGTGTTTCTCCTGGAACCGAGGAACGTTTTGTGTGCTGCCTCCCACGTAAGCTGTTACCACTCACCATGCTTAATTTGTGTGAATCTCTTGTTAAGTAATCTTTCACTTGGGCAAAATGGAGGTGCAGACCTTAATAAGTCCAAAGTGACACCTCCTAAAACAAACATTTTGAATCCTGGTCCCCTAAGAGTTTTGACATCATTCACACCCTTCTTCTGAGTCACTGCTACAGCACCAAAGAGTTTTTCCTCTCTTCAAGAAACAGGATTGTGACAACTGGGGATAATTCTTGATCTGATGAACTGCAAAGAAGGGCACAGCACACACACTTGGCCTCTTTAACAATGGGGGCTGCCGTTTCAGAAGTAAGATGGCAGTCAGAAAGCATTCGGGAGAGTCTTGTCAACTGCTTGCTTCTATTTGTACTCGTGCAAAAAAGTATAAGGATGAAGTTGCTCTGTGTCTTTCCTGGATGAGGGTTTTAAGGTAACCTCCTCCCCTTCCATTCCCTCCTCTTCCCACCTCTTCTCTTCTTCTCCAGAGGGGCAGCGTGTGACTGAATGGGACCTAGGAGCTGCAGAAGACTCATCCCGAAAGGAATCCAGGCCCTGGGTCACTAAGTAACGACAGCCGCCTGCCACCAGGGTCCCCATACACAGGGCTCCACTCACATCTAAATAGGGGCATCGGTCTCTGTCATCGTGCCAACCTCCTTTCCAGTTTTATTTTTATGTCAGCCACTATTTCCCTGACGGATGCAGCTGCCTTCCATTGGCACAAGCTCCCTGAGCTGAGGCCTGGACAAAGTAAGGGACAGTGCCTCATTGCTATGAGTTTTGGCTGCTGGATGCCTGATGATTTACGATGTGAAGAGGTTTATAAATCGCATAGCATTGTTTTAGGCCCAAATGATATCGAAATTCAGTGCCAACATTAATGTATCTTATTTTACTTTGTAACCAAGACAAAACACAGAGCTGGGCTTCATTACAGCATCCTAGTTGCATTCTAGTTTCTTTATGGAACAAAATGTTACCTGCCATAAAGAGCTAAGAACAAGAGGAAAAGTCCATTTCAGTCCCTGGCCTTGGCACTTTCCAGCCTTGAAATATGAAAATGTTCAATTTCAATCTCACTTGTTTCATTCATGAAGTGCAAAGCAAGGACATTTGACCTTCTCATTAAAGGAACTGAAGTGTGTAGAAATTAGCACATATGCTGCATAGTGTCTTCAGAGCTTGCACCATTATTAAGCACTATTACTAGTACAAATCCTGACTTACACTCATCTTGAAGCCATAAAATAGAGGAATCTGGGAAGATAGGGTACAACTGCTGAACGGTTAACCCAAATAAACTAAGTCAGGTCTTGAGTCCACATAACGGAGGATCCTAACAATTAACTTAAGCAAACAGACTAGCGGGGGCCTAGTACAATGCATGGGACAAAGAAAAGGTCCCTGAGCTAATGGAACAGGCCTCGGAGGGAGAGAAATGCAAAGGAAGGACCTGCGTTCCTGACACCAAAGGCCTCAGTCAACCAGGAGCATCCCTGTTCTGTCACGTTCACCTGCACCAAACGCTGTACAGAAGGCCAATCGACTTAACATCTGTGGTGGATTAACTATTGGTCAACTTGGAATGCCCAGCGGAACTGAGTCAGCCTGGCTCTGGTGTGGAAGACCCACCTTATGATTGTTGCCAAGAGAGTAAGAGAATTGGAGAAGAGGGCTGGTTTTCTTGATGCAAATGTGGCTGTTGTCCCTGGAGGAGCTCAGGTCCTTACCTTGGTCAGGTAGGGCTGCTGTTCTCACCAGGGGAGCTCTGGTCTTAGCCTTGATTATCTCTTCCTGTCTCCAGTGCAGCTCCCTCCGCTGGTGGCACAGATCCCTCTCCCTACCAACGCACACTTTCTAGCTTCCACCACCGGCCTTTGGGCCTTCCCGGCGCAGATCCTCAGTACAGACTTGCAGGAGACATTACCCTGGGCTTCAGGCCTCTGGCTGGACTTGTGCAGGGCATAGCAGTGGGGGCCAGGCCCTGGACTAGATTCTTCGGATCTCTAGTGTGTACACAGATCTCTTGTGCACTTCTGTGTTTCACTTCTGGAGTGAATATTAAATAATAATCCTGTAAATTATGTGTATTGTATTAAATCTCTATTCCATTGCAAGCCTGACTACAACAGCATCTATGGTGTCCACCTTCCGGAACCCCTCCCTGAGCAGCAGGGAGTCTTTCTTTCTTTCTTTCTTTCTTTCTTTCTTTCTTTCTTTCTTTCTTTCTTTCTTTCTTTTCCTAATACGCATACATTTGTTCATTTTGCATGGTTGACCACCTGCTGTTTCGTTAGCTTCGTTTAGAGGCCCCAAAACAAGGACCCAGATCAGAGTACAGGAGAGAGTTGTTTACAGCCTAACCATTATGTAAGTAGACTTGAACATACGCACACACTAGGTGAACCGATGGACTCGCGCCCTCATAACCTCCTGAGGAAGTCACATGACTATCTTTTATTCTCATTTGGTTTCATCTGAATTGCTCAGGCTTACATAGAAACTTACATTTTACCTCATTTCTCTCAATTGGCCTTTTGAACTTCTATATATATATATATCTTTTTTTAGTTCCTTGGGTTCATCATTAAGTTATCTTTATGCCAATTATCGCAAGATAATTGTGCAGAGTAAGGGAGAGGGAGTCGGGGGAGAGAGAGTGTTATCTGCCTAAGATTCAACCTCAGGCACCTAGGGGCAGGGTCATAAGCACTGGATTCCTGAACAATGACTCCAGGGACTGGACTGTGGTGGCTTCATTAGAGAGAGGTGCACCGCCCTCCCCTTGATGGAGGCTGATGATTTCCAGGCCTGGAGCACTGAGAGGTTCGGCCCAGTGACAGCATCTTTCCACATCAGACAAAGACCAAGAGCGGTACTCAGGTGGTCATCTCTGCCGATTCATGTATAACAGACCTGAAGGCCATGATCATGTTTGCAGATAGCAAGGGTCACCTTAAAGTCTGACTCCAGGGGAGAAAGGCCTGAAAAATTTCAGGACGCACCTCACCGACATGCTGCATTACAATTTTATATCATTAATATATAATTGTAGGACTCCGCATAGACTGAAGCCCTTTTATAGTATGGGTTATCTTTCATTTGTAATATAAAATCCAGTGACCATGAAACTTCCAGATTCTGCAGACTTCCGTGCTGAAGATTATAATCCAATGTAAATTCTGGATTCTTCTAGAATCTCTGGGTGAAGAGGTCTTTGTTGAAAGCTAAAGTTATCCTAGAATTATGAGTTCAATTCCATTTCTGCTTAGTTTTCTACTCACTAAAACATCTCTTCAGAATCAGACTGGAAACAAGACAATAAAACAGATTGAAAAGATAAGTTGAAGTTAATTCCCTCTTAATATTCCCCCAAACTCCAATATTCTATGTCATAAGTAAGGATGCTTCAAAATCATACAACCACATAATTATAGTGGAACCTTAACTTACAAACTCAATTTGTTCTCCAGGGCTGGTTATAACTCAGGTTGGTCAATGAAGGCTCAGGCTCCTCTGCACAGCCCTCAGAGTCCCTGCACCCAGGCAGAGCTCAGCATCCTTAGAGAGACCCTAGCCCAGGATCTCCCAATTAAACACCCCCCAAAAAAACAAAAATAAATAAATAAATAAATAAATAAATAAATAAATAAAATGACACATATAAATACAATTGTATATATAAGGATATTTGCAGTTTCTGTATCTAAAGTGTTTCTACTTATAACAACAGGAAGATAACTATTTTCCTCACTGAAAGCAACTGTGTTTCTTCAGGAAGCTTGACCAACTTTCCAGCCACATTGGAAAGTTTTTAAACTGCATGTTAAATCTTCCATTCTGAAATGACAGATCTTCCCATGTGGTGAAGCCCTCTCTGTGGAAATGATTTTCTTAAAGACTCATCTCAGAAAATGCTATAATTTTCTCCCAAGTCTGCTATTTCCCATCCCCTTTGTGTGTACTTTTCTTTGATGGAAAAGTTCCCCTCTGTGGCACCGCCTCGGAGATTTAGATGTTCAGATCCCTAGCAATTGTTTCTCAAAAAATATTCAAAGTGCACCTTAAGATGAAGGAATGTCTGTGGTTTTCTTCATCTCTGAGTCCCATACAGTGAGGCAGCTGGGGTCCAGGGGCTCAGGGGGGCTTGTGGGGCAGGGGTCCTGGGCTCCGCAGTTCCTGCAGTCAGTGGTGACTAATGAAGTCCCAGCCGCTGCCTGAATGCACTGTTTGGGGACAGAGCAAACCTGTTAGAGCTCGGCTGCTCCACTCTGTGGCTTTGGCTCTCTGCTGTTACCTTTCTCCCACCCGGTTCGGGACTGCACATCCTATCCGGGTGTCACACCACAGCAAGATGTGTTTACTCTTGGAAGCAGCCGGGTGAGCAGGAAGAGGGCCAGCAAGGGGAGAGGAGCCTCAAGCCCCACAGAGACACAGCCCTGTGGAAGGCGTGCCAGGTGGTACCCATTCTTCCAGGCTGCTCTCTTCCCTGTCATGAGCATGGAGACTTTGAAAGAGGTGGCTCTAAGGCCTTTCTAGCTCTAAATCAAAGCAGTATTTTTTGGCCTGTAAAGTTACTGGAGAATTTGAATCTCTGCATGCTCTCCCCTAACTAGAAATTTTCCCCATCCTATCAAGTTTTAAATTATATTGTATTCAACCATTGCATCATTAAAGAGCCCCAAGACCAAGGTGCAGGATTTCATTGAGGTAATAAACAAATAAACAAGCCAGAACTACCCCAGAGTCAAGCTACTGTATTGTAGTCTTTGTTTCTTTTTCTATCTACATTTTTAACAAAACTGGCATTTTTTAATGTAGTAGCCAAACACACACACATACACACACACACACACACACACACACGTTTCTATGTAAAAATGGAAAGATGTGGCTAGTGTACAAAGTTTCGTATTGTGTTAAAGGAAACACAAGATGGCAAATCTGATGCTAAATTAGCAATAAGGTAAACAATCTTAATGCCACACAGAAGAGTCAATGCAGTACAAAAGACAGAGAACACCCAGCACAGTAGGAACGTTTTACACATGGTAAAAATACTGTGGCACAAAAGTGGGGCTAGAGTTAACATTAATTATTTGGAAAGACATGAAACTGAACTCTTGCCTTAGATAATCTGCATTATTTAACTGTAGCTGGGTCTTAAAAGGCCAACAAAGAAAGCCATAAAAACTAGAAGCAATGAAGGTGATGTTTGTCTACAGAAGGAGTGAGAAAGAAATTCTAAAGATAGGACTGGTGGGTTTGTAGATCTGAGATCCACTTTCTCACAAGTCAACATGGAAAATGAAACCGACCGCAGTCAGTTGAGGTGCACCTGTGCTGTCCTAGCAGCCAGAGCTGCATCCTTACACCTTGGTTAGCACCACAGGGGAGGCCCGATATGATGACTTGGGTGTTCTTCAGATGTGATCTCCTGTGGTCAACACATTTGAGCAAATGGTGAGTGGGGTGTGTACCACCCTTCCTTGTGTAAAACTGTAATAGCTAAATTTCTGCATCACAGCATAGATGCATGTCTAATTTACTAGAAATCTCCAGGTCCCTTTTCAAAGCGGTGCACAAAAGTCACTGCTTTTTAGGGCTCTTCATGGCGTGCGTGCCCTTGTGTGTGAATGCCCGTGTCCCTGACTGTCAATGCTATAACTTACTGTTCAGGATTTTTAGGCATCCAAACAGTTTCTGTTTGGAGAGTAACATTTCAGATAGTTTGCACTTCTCCCCTGGTTTGTGTTTTAAATACTGTTATTCATGTATAAATACATACAAACATATGGATTTGATTTTTTGTTGAATTATCTTGTCATAAGACCCAGAAGTAAAGCCATAAGAAATGTCCATTTTGTTTCCTCTGCTGTCAAAAAATAGTTCAAGATTCAACTGACAATGAGTGCTTCTTCAA